GACCGACCTGTAAGTCACTGCGCTTGTCGCACTTGCCCGTCCAGAAATACCGCCCCCTCCCCCGGCGCTGTCCTGCCCCCGGCGCCGCGTCGCGTGCCACGCGGCCGCACAGGGGGCGCGCCACGGCCCGACGCAGCCAGCCACACACGGCGGCATGTCCCGAGGGGACAGGAGGTGGTCAAGAGAGGGGTCATATACACTCTTAAGAGACGCCTGATGGGAGGGCAATTTGCAGTAGAGGACGCCAGTGAGTAGGCAAAAGGACACGACTTTCCCTACATCCAAAGCAAAGGGTGGCCAGGGTTATAGGAGTGAGGCCCTGGGTGGGCAGGCCGGGGCTACATGGGGCGTTCTGCTGTTCAGCTGTATGAGTTCCTCATGTTGTCCTGTTGCTGTCGTTGAGAGTGGGTGTGGTGGTGTGGTCGACCAAGGGCTCGGAGACATACATCCAGAGTGTGGGATAAGGTGAGCTTGACCCTTTATCTGTCTCCCATGAAGGGCTTATACTGTTCGCCCCGGGGGTTCGCCGGCTCCCCCCTCCCCCTGTCGCGAGGGGCCGCAGGGCCGCAGGGGGAGTGAAGCGCGCGCCGCGTTGCCGTGCCCGTGGCGCGCAGTCAGTGCGCTCTACATCCACGTGCACGGTGCGCGGCGCGAGGCGCGGCGTGCGCGACGCCATCCACACACGCATACACGCAGCGCCACCGCGACGCGCTGAGCGGCTCGCTGTCCGGGCCCGGGCGTCGGGGGCAGGGTGCGGCCCGCGGACTACTCGCCCTGGAATGTACGTAACGTACGTAAGGGATGACGATATCGCACGCACCGCGTGTCAGGCGAGGCACAGCAGCATGCGGGCTTGCCTCCTTGTGTAAGGCGCCATGGTGCCTTGGGGTAGGCACACCTGCAATACTAGTGTAGTGTTGTAGCCCTAACACACGGCATGTATAGTGCCCGCTGCCGGGAGTGTGTCTAACGAGTATTTCGCGATTTTTTGCGAGGTCGGCGTAATTTCGATTAATAGAGCTTTTTCTTCACAGCAGCACCTGTGCCTATGCGTCTAATCGTCAGGCACGCCCTACAAAACTAAGCTTTTCTTTGCACGGGTGGTAAGAAGCGTAAGGTAGGGGGAGGGGGGGGGGCACATACCTTGGCACGCCTGGCATCTCGGGCGGCGCACTGGGAGTGACTGACCGATACTGTGCACTGTGCCCTCTTCTGTGTACTTTTTCCGGAGAAGCCTCGGTAGAAGCAGAACGCCTCAACGTGTGCTCTGCCGAATTAACTTGGTGCGCTCCATGCTTTTAAATCTGATGTAATTGTGTGGGTTTGTGTGTTGTCAGGCACCCGCTCGTGTTCTTCGCTGTGTCCGGCCTACTCGTCAGCGTGGCCAGCTCTGGGGGCGGCCTCGCGGACAGCCTCGCGGACAGCGTGCCGGCCGTGGTGCGCGAGGCAGCCCCGGACCTGGGCCTGCACTCGCCGTCCGCGCAGGCGGCCGTGCGCGCCTGTGCCCGGGCCGCGGTGCGTGGCGCGTGCTCCGAGCGCCCGGCCGCCAGCCACGAGGACGCCGTGTACGACCTGGCGCTGAGCCTCACGGCGTGCACCCTGCGCGGGTCCCCGGCGCGGCGAGCGGGGGTGTCGTCGCCGAGCCGCCGCCTGTCGCGCTGCGCGTCGCGCCGCCGCCGGCGCGAGGAGGGCATCGTCGCCGACGGCCACCCCCGGGCGCCGCGTCCTTCCCGCGGCCACGGCCGCCTCTGCCTCGGCGACGTGCTGCGCCGCCTGTCGCGCCCGCACTTCGCGCTCTTTACGCGCGTCTTCGCCGAGCTGTTCAGCCGCTGGCCGCTGCAGCTGTGCCCCCGCCACAGGTGCCCCAGCTGCGCGGACAGCGCGGGCAGCGCGGGCCCTCCACGCACCCACGACAACAGCACCTGTCGCAGCCCAGCACCTGTGGATCGGGCCCCGGGGCCGCGGCCGACGGCGACCTGCACTGCCGGATGACCCACAGGCGAGTGCATGCACGCAACCAACACGCGAGCCGACGAGACTCACCGCAGTCCGAGGGAGGGGATGCGGAGACCTTGGACCAGGGGAGGGGTCGCTCACGATCGAGTTTGTGGGATATACCCATCTTTATCTGTGATTCTGGGCATCTGAAGAGAATGGTGGTAGAATACCAGGTGGCTGATTCACGCCGCGC